GTTGTAGGCAGAGGGTTAGATTATAGGTTTAGGTTAATTAAGTTTTGGTTAATTATCTTTTGGTTTAATTTTTTAATTTGGTTCTGGTTTAATGTATTCTTTGATGGTTTATGTAAAAGAGGATATGTTTTGTTTGTTAAAACATATTTTAGCTTTAATAATATCATTAATTATTTTTATTACAAATATTTGAAATAAATATTAAATTTTCAAAAATAAAACCAAATCGTTATTAATTTTAATAAAATTCCTGATATTAAAGAACAAATTAATAACACAAAACATTTGCTATCTTTGTATACCTAAAATCAAAATAATTAGTTTTAATAACGGTTTTACAGCCTTATTATAAGTATTAACAATTGCATAGACAACACCGCTATTGTTATTTATTTTAATATAGCATACGACTGTTCCGCTATCGAAAGTGTTGGACCTATTATGACGGGCGATCTCAGAGCGTTTTAAGGAGCGCTATGGTAGCGATCTCATAGCATTTAACGACCGCTAATAAAACCCATATTTCTTGTAGTGGCACTATACGACTTCCGGGGAAGTCTTCTGAAATTCTTTAGAAAGTCTTCTGGCAGAGTCTACTCCCCTGTCAAGTGCAGTCGAAGCTCGTCTTTGTGGAGGAATGGTATATAATAGTCTTGTTTATGGTCTATTTAGTGATTTGTATGTGTACTCTTTTAGTTGTAAATTCTTTTGTAAATTTGAAAAGATATTAAAGAAAAAAATTGGTAAATATGTTCATGTCTAAAATATTATCTTGTCAATATTACTTGACATTATTGAAGTTATTGATACAACTTTAATAGCAAAACAAAATAGCACAAAAATGAATTAAATTAATTACAACTAAGAGAGATAAATTCTTAAGAAAAGTTAGTCAAATTCAAAAAAATTTCAAACTTTACTTAAGTTCAAAGTCTCAATACTTTCACTAGAAGTCTTCTCAGAAGAGTTTTGGGAAGTCCTCTCGAAATACTTAAATTTAAAGTGGAAAATTTTAGCAGAAAAATAAAAATTTAAGCGGGAAACTCAAATTTTTAAGTGAAAATTAAAATTTTAAATTTCATGAAAGTTAAAAAGTATATCTTATGATCTAAGAAGACACATTAAACCATATGACTTGATATGCTTGAAGTTGCTTAACACTTTTGAAAGTTAAAAAAGTATATCTTAAAGTTGATTACAAAAACTAACATAGAAGACTTCTGGGGAAGTCTTCTCTCATTAGCTAGAAACATTAATAAGCATAATGTTGTTAACCTCATAAATACTATCAATTAAGTTACGAATTTCATCCATGAACTCAAATATTGACTAATATACATGAATTAACAAGAGAATGTTAAAGATCTTTTCATAGTTTTAAAGAAAATTAAAGTTTATTAAACATTTACGTAAACGACTTACAGGGAATTCGTCAAAAGGGTCATTTTAAAATTGAAAATTTACAAAGAAAGAATTTCCAGAGAAGTTTACTCTGCAGAAGACTTTTTTGGAAGTCTTCCTTTGTAAATATTGGCTTACTTTTGTGTTCAATTTTTTTTTGAAAATTCCATAGAAGACTTCCCTGTAAGTCGTCTACGATAAACATGTTAGTTTTGCATTTGACCACATTGTGTCAGAAATTTGATTTTTTCTAAACGACTTATAGGGAAGTCGTCCACAAAAAAAAAACTTCAATATTTAATTTTTGCTAGATGACTTCCATGTAAGTCATGTCGGGTTACTTTTACAACTGCAAAATAAAACTTAAATATTTAATTTTATTCGACGACTTACATGTAAGTCTTCCGTTAGAAGACTTACACGAAAGTCGTCTGTGGTAACCAAGGTTTTACAAGAATCTCAGAATAAAATTCTGGAAGACTTCCATGTAGGTCGTCTATCGGAAGACTTACATGTAAGTCGTCCAAATAAAATTAACTATTTAATTTTTATTTTTCAAACCCGAGACGACTTACATGGAAGTCGTCTAACAAAAATTAAATATTGAAGTTTTATGTTATGTGGATGACTTCCCTATAAGTCGTCTAGGAAAAGTAAATTTTCTGACACTATGTGGTCAAATGCAAAATCAATATGTTTAGCGTAGATGACTTACAAGAAATTCTTCTCTGGATTTTCAAAAAAAAAAAGAAGTTAAAAACAAAGAAAACCGGAAGAATTCCATAGAAGTCGTCTCATAAAGACACACATAAAGTCAATTGTTAAACTAACCTCTGCATTGGCCAGAAGACTTTCTTGTAAATCTTCTACATCCAGAAGACTTACACAGAAGTCTTCTGATGGACAGATCTTGAATTTTTTTTTTATTTCATACCTTAAATTCATGAGAAAAATTTCTTAGCACACATAAGTCTTTTCCAAGCATCCATAACCTCAAAATGAAAGCAACCCACCAAGAATTGTGAGCTTGAATGGTTCTATTAACCTTAAAAAGTTTTATAATCAAAATTTTGGATTTTTTTGGATGAATATAGAGAGAAAGTGAAAGTGATGTTGTTTTTAGTTCATAAGAGATGAGATAAAAGGAGACATAATTGATTTTTAGGTGCACTAAGAGCTTCAAATTAGGTCTTCATGGTGGTTGGTGTATTGATGTCAATGTAAATATTGTAAATACTTGATAAAAATGAGGATGATTGAGTTAAATACTCATTTAAAAAAAAAGTAATGGTATTTTTGAGAATAATCCAAATTTTTGGGGTAAATAGGAGGAGTCAAAGTTCCAAAAAGACATGTGTTAGTTTTGTGTTTGACTTTGAATTTTGAGTCATGTTTGCTAGAAACCCTTATATTTTTTATCATTCTTATTATTATTTAGTTTAATCATTTATCTAATCAAAAACAGAAAATCGGTTTTTACTTTGTGGCTAATTTAGATATTTACTATTAATGGTATACATGATATTACCCTTTCTAATTTTTAACGTGATAGCTCGAATGCAAAATATTACTATACATATAATAGTATAGATATAGGTTAATTTTTATAAATATTTCCTTTTTGTTATTTNCAAAAACAGAAAATCGGTTTTTACTTTGTGGCTAATTTAGATATTTACTATTAATGGTATACATGATATTACCCTTTCTAATTTTTAACGTGATAGCTCGAATGCAAAATATTACTATACATATAATAGTATAGATATAGGTTAATTTTTATAAATATTTCCTTTTTGTTATTTATGTGCATTTGTAGAAAAAAAATAATTTAGTAGTTAATAAAAAATTTACTAAGAAAAGGA